ACTATAATATTGAAGATGTTCCCATGGGGGGAAAATACACTGAAAGACTATTGAAAATGTCCAGTGGACAGTCAAGATAGGTATCAAGGTCTCAGCCAGCTCACTTCTAGGCACTAAAAGTGTTTTCAAAGAACTTTACAATAACTATTGTGACAAATCCAAGGTCATCTATTCATTTCTTCTCAAGGTCATAGGAACTCTCCTCAAGCCTGGTTGCTACCCAATATCTGATTAAAAGTAGCTGAGGACTTCCCTGGTGGTCCAGTGGTTAAGACTCCATGCTTCCAATGCAGGGGGCACAGGTTCAATTTCTGGTCAGAGAACTAGTATCCCACAAGCCACATGATGCAGCTAAAAAATTAAAAAAAACAAACAAAAAACCCCAAACTGATCTGCCGAAACTTTGCTCAACATCACCCCCTTGTTCTGATGACCAGCAGTGTCTGATAGAGCTACACTGCAATATCATACTCTGCCAGCAGGTGTCACTGTCTGCTAATTATGTGATCCGGAGTGAATCGCGCACCCCACCCCCCACAAAAGGGTTAAGAGAATATGTCTACTAAGTCCCAGGTGGCACAGTGGTAAAGAATCGACTTGCCAATTCAGGAGACACAGGAGACTTGGCTTTGATTTATGATCAGGAAGATCCCCTACAGTAGGAAATGGCAACTCACTCCTGTATTCTTACCCAGAAATCCTATGAGCAGAGCAGGGCAGGCTACATTTCATGGGGTCACAGAGTTGGACACGACTGACTGAGCACGCACGCACTAACTCATGAAAGCTCTAAAATCAAAGTTCTGAAAGGTAAGGTCTACTCCAGTTTCACTTCATGACATAAGTATATCTTGTATTAAGAATGCAGAATGGGTATAAATTTGAAAAATATGTTTCAGTTCTTTTTGTTCTGGTGGATCTTGTCACACTTTTGTGTTGTTGATTTCAAGCTTTTCTAGAAAACTTATTTTTCTTATTGTCAATAATAGTATCTCTGACTCACTTTGTTGTACAGCATCAAATAACACAACACTGAAAAACAATTATACTCCAATAAAATAAAGTAATAATATCTAAAATGGGCCTATTATCTTGACATTCCTCAAAACTTTCTGCATTTCAGTTTAACACAATACCTTGCACATGTTGTGCTCAATTAATATTTGTGGCATGACTGCTACCCTTTCCCCACCACCAAATTCTGGGAAACATTCAGAGCGATTCAATAGATGAGGAAACTGGGTCCTAGAAAGATTAGATAACTTGCCCAAGGTTACACAGCTGGTGAATGACAGTGCCATGCTGGAAGATTCTTGAGACTACAAGGAGATCAAACCAGTCAGTCCTAAAGGAAATCAACCCTGAGTATTCATTGGAAGGACTGATGCTGAAGTTGAAGCTCCAATACTTTGGTCACTTGATGGGAAGAGTCGACTCTCTGGAAAAGACCCTGGCTGGGAAAGATTAAGGGCAGGAGGAGGAAGGGGTATCAGAGGATGAGGTGGTTAGATAGCATCACCAACTCAATGGACAAGAGTTTGAGCAAACTCCAGGATATAGTGAAGGACAGAGAAGCCCGGTGAGTTGCAATCCATGGGGTTGCAAAGGGTCGGACATGACTTAGCTACTGAACAACAACAACCAAGATTACACAGCTGGTGAGTGGCAGCTGGGGTTTGCATTACTTGTCTAATACCAATCTCTTGTCCATTTTCTTCAACCAGCAAAAGGGACTCAGAGACAATGGGAGCCCTGAGGAGGTGGGAGCATGTGCAGGCAGCAGAAGTCTGCTCTAAAGGCTTGCAGTGTGTCTGAGACAGCTCTGGACAGACCCTTTATCATCACAGACAGCAGCTGAGGGACTTCTTTGGTGGTCCAGTGGTTAAGACCCCAAGCTTCCCCTGCAAGGGGCATGGGTTCGATCCCTGATCCAGCATGCTGTGTGGTGTGGCCACAAAAGAAAAAGAAAAAAAGCAGCTGACAGCCAATCTGTTATCTAACAATTTCTCCCCATAATTTTCCTGAAACAGATTAGAGAAGGGAGCAAACTGTGCTTCTTGCAAGTGATAAAATCTAAGTGGAGGTGGAGGTGCCGTTGTGGGGGCAGATGACACCACCAGAAGCCCAGAACCATGCCCCCTCCCTATTCACCCCCATGGAATGACAGATAAGTGGGTTTAAGACTTGAGTCAGTCTTCAAATTCCTGGATGGTATTTATCTGCTGATGTCACAATATGTAACAACCCTGATACTAGGAAAGACTGAAGGCCAAGAGAGAAGGGGGCGGGAGAAGATGAGATGGTTAGATGGCATCACCGACTCAATGGACATGAATTTGAGCAAGTTCTGGGAGATAGTGGAGGACAGGGAAGCCTGGCGTGCTGCAGTCCAGGGGGCTCACAAAGAGCTGGACACGACTTAGGGACAGAACAACACGTATCTTTTTAACAAAACAATACTGTTCGTGCTGATAGGATGAGTATACACCCCTTTCATACAATTGGACTCCACTATTGCTCAACACTGTTCCGGGTCACTGCGGGATGCCCAGCTTCCCAGCATCGGTCAGCCTACCTGCCCACGTCCTGGAGGAGAGGAAGGCTCACTCCCCAGGGATCCCTCTGGGAAATTTAGGTCAGCGTGATCTCATTACCCTACTGGATCAGAGCTGATACGTGAAGATTCACACTGAAGGAAGGGGGGTGGGAGTGCTGAGGTTGTCTTACCTGAAACAGTCTATTTCAGGGTCCTCACATCAAAGGTGGGGTCTCAGGTCCCAGATGGATGGACTGCCACTTGAATTATACCTTGGTCTGCCTCAGTCTAAATTTCCTACAGGAAATCAATCCTGGATATTCATCGGAAGGGCTGATGCTGAAGCTGAAGCTCCAATACTTTGCCACCTGATGCAAAGAGCCCACTCATTGGAAAAGACTCTGATGCTGGGAAAGATTGAAGGCAGGAGCGGGGGGGGGGGGGGGGTGGGGTGGGGTGGGGGGGGACAGAGGATGAGATGGTTGGATGGCATCACTGACTCAATGGACATGAGTTTGAGCAAACTCCAGGAGATGGTGAAGGACAGAGAAGCCTGGTGTGCTGCAGTCCATGGGGTCACAGAGTCCAACACGACTTAATGACTGAACAACAACAACAAAGTTGAACTCCAAGCTCTGCTACCACGAGGCCTTTCACCAGTTACTCCTGCTGATGCCGGAATCTTGACCTCTGAGCAGTGGTGCCAAATTGAATCTCTGAAACAGAGTTTTGGGTGACAGAAAAGAATACCCTTATTGCTTTGCCAGGCAAAGGAAGCCTCTGTGGGCTCCTGTCTTTGAAAACTATGTGTCTCAACACTGGAGGATTTGATGAGGAGTTTCATAACAATAGTACAAGGGTGGGGTTGCTGGTAAGACTAGGCTGTGTGCAGGGCCTGCAGTCCTTTAATCTGGTCTCAGGTGATCTTTATTTTTAAATATTTTGGCCACACAGTCAGGCATGTGGGATCTTAGTTTCCTGACCAAGGATTGAACCCAAGTCCCCTACAGTGAAACAGAGGAGTCTTTTTTTTTTTTTTTTAATTTTTTTTGAAACAGAGGAGTCTTAACCACTGGACTGCCAGGGAAGTCCATCAGGTAATCTTTCTGATGAACTTTGGTTTCTTCAGTCTGGCCTCAGGTCTCCAGAGGCATGCAGAATGCTGACATCTTCCCTTTGTTGGGTTTCAATTCTATGTACTCAGTCGTATCCGACTCTTTGCGACCCCATGGACTGCAGCCCACCAGGCTCCTCTGTCCATGGAATTTTCAAGGCAAAATACTGGAGTAAGTTGCCACTTCCTACTCCAGAGGATCTTCCCCACCCACGGATGGAACCTGAGTCTGTTGTGTCTCCTGCGTTGGCAGGCAGATTCTTTACCACTCATGCCCCATCAAGGGCTTTAAGATACTGTTAAGTGTGTCCCTTGAGGCAGAATGAGGACCCTACCCCAAGGCTGTTTCTTGGTTGTTCCTCCCTTGACTCTACATAGCCCCTCTTCCCGGATATGCAACTGCTTGAAACAGCCCTTTAGAACTCAGGGGGAGGTGCTGGAGGCTGAACGGAAAGGCTCCCTGTGCCCAGGAACCCTTACAGGGTTCACTGCCAGATCTCTACAGTCAATGTAACAGTTCCACCCTTATAGTTATGGTAAAGATGAAATTACTATGGAACCACATTCTTCTTGACAGCTTCTCCAATGTGAATCTTCCGTGCCCTTCAGTGAACACTACACACTATTGTGGGTGGAGGAATGTAAAGAGATTTGGTCTTTAAAAAGTTCTCTTTAAAATCTTCCCAGTTCTAGAGTGCAAGTGACTGCTCTGTTGAAGGCAGTGGAGGAAAACTCCTTTGGTGGCTTGGAGCCAGCTGACACTTTTACATGGACAAGTCTTGGTGGGGTGGGGGTGGTGGGTACCCACCCAGCACTCTTTCATTCACTCAACAAACATTCATGGGAAACCACCAGCTGTATGCTCAAGGTCATCAGGAAGCTGGTGATGTCCTGGTACTGGCCCCCCAGGGTCTGGGAATCCCAAGACACCCTCCCTGGGCCCACCTAGAGGGAAAATGCCTTAGTGGGGGGTGGGCTCCAGCAGGACCAGCAGTCCTTGGATTATCTGGTGGCCAATGAACTGCTCTCCTGTGCCCTAGAATTACAGAATTTTTAGTTTCTGGTAATTTGAGACCAGGGTTTCCTAGGTGGCTCAGCGGAAAAGAATCCACATGCAGTGCAGTAGAAATGGGTTCAATCCCTGGGTGGGAAGATCTCCAGGAGAAGGAAATGACGACCCACTCCAGTATTCTTGCCTGGAAAATCCCATGGACACAGGAGCCTGGTGGGTTACAGCCCACGGGGTTGCAAAGAGCCGGGCAGGACTGAGCGACTAAACAACAAGCAAAGCCTTGCTGCCAGGGTTATTGAAATAACCCTGACCCTCCCAAGAGACCAAAAAAATTATTATTAGTAAACCCCCGCCCGCTCCCTCTTCCCCCGCGCCCAGGCTGGCCCAGCACCGCTGCAGCCCTCCGGGTGTTGCAACCAAGGCCTCTTACCCAGCGGAGGCTGCCCAGCGTTTCCCAAAGACGCCTCCGGAGGGACCACAGCTTCGGCGCCGCCCGGAGCGCCCCGATGGCCTCCGGGTGGGGCGATGGCGCAGGCAGAGGAGGGGGGCGGCGGCTGCATAAGCTGTGGAACGACCGCCGGGCACGTGACACACCACCCGCCCCGCGCCCCAGCCTCGGACCCAGCAGCGCACTGCGCCCCCCGCGCGGCCGCCTGAACCCCAGCCGGGGGGGCGGGGCGAGGCAAGAAGAAGAGGGGCGGGGCGGGGCGGGGCGGGGTGGTCCCGCCCCTAGCGCGTTCCTTTTTCACTTTAAAGCCTTCGGTTGCATTTTCTTCTTTGCACAGAAGTCGCGCTCGGGTATCCTGCGCGCTCGCAGCAGGCACCAGGCTCCAGCGCTGGCGCCGGGGCCGCGGGGAGGAGGCGACTTCGCTCCCTGCGGCGGGAAGCCTCCTCGGCCCTGGAGACCGGGCGGCGGCGGCAGCCTCCCCGGAGCGGTAGGCAGGGCCAGGCGCGGGCACTGTGTGGGTGGGGGTCCCGGTCGGGCGCGCGCTGGGGTCGCAGCACCTGGGGACCCGGGCGCGGGGCTGGGGTGGGGTCCCGCTTGGAGACCCGGTACGGGTACGTGGGGAGCCCTTCTCTCGGCGAGGGTCCCGGGAGAGGGGCCCGGGGCGCCGCCCAGCGCTGCTGCAGCTGCTGCCCGTGCAGGCGCGGGCAGGTCGCACGGCTCCGGGCCCCACCTGCGGGGACGAGACGGGGCGGGAGTCCAGGCAGCCCCGGAGACCGTCGGACCCGGGATTGAGCCTTGGCGGCTGCAGACCTAAGAAGGAGCCCGGGACGCGCGGCGGCCCCCGGCGACTTCTAGGTGCCCGGACGCCGGGGGTGACCTCGGGACCATCCCTGCGGCGGAGGCGGGGGCGCCGACCTGCCCCTTTCGCTCAGGGGTAGCGCGACCCCGCTCCACGGAGTTACTTTCGCTTTTCCCGCCGGCGGGGACCGAGATCCGCAGCGCGGCCCAACTAGCACCCTTGGGGGGTCCCCAGCTCCGCCGGCGGCGCCTCCCCCGGGGAGCCCGCCGGGCGACACCCCTGGCGGCGCCGCCCTCCCCGCCGCCCCGGAGCCGCCGCGGCTGCTTGAGCAACCAGGGGAGAGCCGAGAGTTCTGTCGGGAAATCGATTAAAACAGAAAATACAGAGCAGCCCGGGTCAGTCGGTGGTAGCTGTCCTGTTCAAGTTCAAGGCAGAGGCTCCCGGCAATGCTAACGGCCCCGCGGGGCGATGGCTTGGTATGCCGGGGAGGGATGGCGAATTGTGTGTGTGAGTATGGTGTGTGCTGAGTATGTGTCTGTGTGAGAGTGTGTCTTTGTGAGCCTGTGTGTGTGGGTGAATAAATGTATGAATGTGCATGTGTGATGTGTTTGTGTGTGCCTGTGTGTCTCTGTGTGTCTTTGTGCAAGTTAGTGTGCACCTCTGAGTGTGTGTGTGGTGAGTGTGTCTCTGTGAATGTGTGTGTGTGCATGTGTCTGTGTGTCTGACTGCATCTCTGAGTGTGTGTGTGTCCGTGTGGCATGAGTGTGTGTGTGTGTGTGTGCGCGCCATCCATGGTAACCTGGCAGCGGGGATCGCTGGCTCCTGGATCCGCTTAACTTGCCTTTTCCTGCTTGGTTCTCAAAACAGGGCTGCCCTGAACCAGGGTACAGGGGAGGAGGGCAGGGTGCCTGGTACCAGCTGAGGAGGGTGCAGGCTCCTCCCTCCTGCTCTCTTTTTCTCTGAAAATGAACTGAACAGTTCGGGGGTGAGTTGGCAGGGGCCGCTTCCTGAGTGAGTAATATTTAATTAAATGCTCCAGCCAGTAGCATCAGAAACTGGTCATGAGTTGAGTTTTAACAGGTGTTGATTGTAAAAAAGCATCTCTGGTGACTAAAGCCTGGTGTCCTTGAAAGAATTCTCTCCTGGGTAGAACATTTAGGGGGGGCAGACCTGGAATCCTGGTTTGGGTGTGAGGATGGAAAGCAAGCGAGGGGGCGGGGCTGTCCCTCCCTTTTCTGATGAAGCCGTTCCTGACACTACCCCCTCCCCAGTGGCTCCCCCACTGAGGAATCACAGAGCTGGGGAAGCCGTGTCTTATTAATACTTATGGGGTATCCATCTGGGCCCACCCTTCCTTTCCTGGCAGAGGCCCAGAGAGGGTGGCTGGCTTACCCAGACTGCACAGCCAGAGCTTGTGGACCAAATCTCCGGAGCCCTAACTGTTGCTGGTTGGTTACTGTCGTTGGTTACTGTCGCTAGTGCTGAGATCATGGGCCAGGCACTTCGTGTCTCCCCAGATGTCAAGTGATGGGCTGGATTGGATCATTTCAGTTTTCTTGTTCTCTTACTGCTTTGTCTTCTGCAGAGTGTGCTTTACCCAGTAGATGGAGAGAGAGAGAGAGATGGGGTGGCATGGCCTAATGCAATAATAACTCTACAAACTTCCTTTCTTTTCCCAGTCTGGCTCCCACTAGGGAAGCAGAGAGAATAAAAACAGAGGCACATTGACCACTGTGGCTCTGACAGTCACGAGCAGGGCAGGCCTGGCGTCAGAGAGGTCAGGGCTTTAGGGAGAATCAGTGGGTTCTGGGGCTTATTAGGGGGGAGTGGTTCTTCCTGGGTTCCCCGATGATGTCACTTTGGAGCTGGGAGAGACTTCTTTCATTGGGCTACTCCAACAAGTCTGAAACCACCCTTCATTGGGCTCCCTTGGGTTGCCTGGTAAAACTCTGACATGCCCTGGGGAGTCATCTTCCTTTGAAGCAGGGGAGGATGGTAGGTGTCCAGCTGGTGGAGGCCCACACTGCCTGCTGATTTGCTGAGAAGGATGGATGCATGTTCCCTCAGGACCGTACCTTCTCCCACCTTGCCTCTCCTCCCGGGTGAGCAGAGACTTGCCTGCCTTGTGTTTTCACATTCAGTAAAACCTCTGATTCATACAGCTCAAGAGCTGTGCTCATGAGCTTAGTCTGGGAATTTTGCAACAGTTCCTCCCAAGAGCTAGGTTCTGGCTGTTGTTCATGATCGATTTATATTTGTTCCTGAAAAGCTTGAGAATGAGCTTCTTAATCAGGACAGCAGCACAGGGCATGCCTCGGTCCACCTAGGGATGCATAATCTCATCCCTCCTCCACAGGCCTGACCGATGAAATTCAGACTTAAAAGGACCTTTATTTTGGACTTTATTTCAGCCGAGTGCTCTCCTATATCTCGGTTATCTGATAGACCCCCCACCCCAATCTAGTAGGTGCCAGGCACTGTGCCAGGCAGCTAAGTGCTTTATGGGTGAGATCTTGTCTGATGCTGATTGGTAAGAATAAGAATAATACAGAGAAATAATGTTATAGCACTGCTACTAGGCTCTGATCTGAGTCCTTGACACATTAACCCTTGTCTTTTTCCTAAGAACTCAGGGTGGCAAGTGAGTTCTTCTGCCGTCCACATGGCTTGGCCAAGGTTAGGGATTTTGGCACCTAAGCCCTTAATCAGTACAGCCTCCCACCTCCATCACCTTAGCCTTTTCTTAAGGAAGCATGTGTTAATTTTTAAATAAAAAATTGTTATGATTATGGAAAATTTAAAACATATACCAAAATTGAGAGAAATATAAGGTTCCCTCACCAGCTTCAAGTGTCAGCATGCACACACATGAATGCATATGCATGCATGCACGCCCGCCCCCACCCACACATAAACACCCATCACACACACACACTGTTCCTGGCTTGTGTGTGGCTTGGATGCTTAGTTGTGTCTGACTCTTTGGGACCACATGGACTGTAACCCACCAGGCTCCTCTGTCCATGGGATTCTTCAGGCAAGAATACTGGAGTGGGTTGCCATTTCCTCCTCCTGGGGATCTTCCTGACCAAGGGTTTGAACCGGTATCTCTTGCATCTTCTGCATTGGCAGCAAATTCTTTACCACTGTGCTACCTGGGAAGCCCTTCCTGGCTTGTTGGGAAGTAATGTCAGGTCACCTGTAAGTTGTTCCTAAGAAGCTGTTAGAGGAAGCATTAAGTGTCCAAGGGGCTTCCCAGGTGGCGCTAGTGGTAAAGAATCCACCTGCCAATGCAGAAGACATGAGAGACGTGAGTTCGATCTCTGGGTCGGGAAGATCCCCTGGAGGAGGGCATGGCAACCCACTCCAGTATTCTTGCCTGGACAGTCCCATGGACAGAGGAGCCTGGCAGGCAACGGTCCACAGAGTCACAGAGTCAGACACGACTGAAGTGACTTCATGCACGTAAGTGTCTAAGATGTGGGCTTTAGAGGGTGAGCTGGGGTAAAGGTACTTTTCCAGACTTGGAGCTGAGGGTCTTTCCTGGCTGGGCCAAGGGGAGGGTGGCTCCTAGAGGGGCATCTGTCCTGTTGCCACCCCCACCCCCGCAACCCCAAAAACGTTTGGGAAGCTTCCTGCTGTTTTGTGTTTTAAAAGTTCTGTTACTTGCCCAACGTAGTGAAAAAATGTGTCTGCTGGTTGGGAAACATAGCACACAGGCTCCTTGGGGCTCCCTTGGAGGATCTGCCAAGGCACAACCCTGGCTGTGCCCCCCCACCGAGGCTGGGCCTGGGCAAGGCAGGCCTGGGCTTTCAGGCAGGGCTGGAGAGCAGGAATGTGGAAGTGGTTGATCCACAAGTGCTGCGCCAGACCTAAGCCTGATCGTAACCGTCTTGAATTCCCCCTGTGGGTGATGGAGGGCATGGGAGCCTCGGCCGCCCTCGGGGTACCTCTGGAGGAGTGAAGGAGGCGGTGGGTCATGCGGTCCCAAGGCTGTGGGCGTGTGGGATGTCAATACCACACTGAGTAGGAATCTAGGATCAACCTGGTGACATGGTCTTGACAGGTGCCCCAGGTGTGAACAGCCCTCGCTGGACAAGCTGCTTGTGGTCACACACAGCTGCCGGCTCTGCCCTCAGGGTGTCTGGTTGTTCAAAATGTTGCCTTGGGTTCCGTCACATCTGCTTCCTGCCGGGCGGATGTCAGTGACCACATTTTCAGGGTGAAATTGGCAGGTTTGGTGACTTGTTGGGCGTAGGGCATGAAGAAGTGGGGAGAGTTGCAGGTGTCTGTCGAGAGGTCAGAGTGGATGGTGACCCTTTAGGGAGGACTGGGGGCTAAGGAGACATGGGCATACCTTAAGCCTGTTCCAGGTGGAGATGGTCTCTGCAGATATGTCCAGATGGCAGGTAGGCCTAGGGCTCAAGAGAGAGGTCTGGGCTGGAGACAGAAACTTTGGAACCTTCTTTTAAAGCAGGTTCGTGCCATCCCACAAGAGAGCGTTTGGCATGAGATGAGGCGTGCTTGGGGCATGGAACCCTTATTCCCAGCATTTCAGCTAGAACTGGGGAAGAGACCCGGGCACTGGCACCCTCAGCCTAGTGTTCCTGCCTGGCCTGTGTGTCCTGGGAGAGTCCACCCCGACAAAGAGGGTGTGTGCTGGGGTCTCCATGGTTGGCACCTGGGTGCCCAAAGGCCATCTGGAAAGACTCCTCTTGGCTTAAGGGTTCGATTCTTCTCTCTCTCTTTTCTTAAAAATAAACATAACATTAAAATTATGTCTTAACCATCTTTACAAAATTATTTATTTTATTTTTGGCTGCACCGGGCCTTTGCTGCTGCCTGAGGGCCTTCTCTTGTTGCCGCAAACGGGGGCTGCTCTCTGGTTGCGGCGCCTGGGGCATTTCATTGCCCTGGCTTCTCTTGTTGTAGAGCGCAGGCTCCAGGTACACAGGCTTCAATAGTTGTAGCCCATGGGCTCAGTAGTTGTGGCACACGGGCATAGTTGCTCTGTGGCATGTGGAATCCTCCCGGACCAGGGATTGAACTCGTATCCCCTGCATTGGCAGGTGAACTCCCATCCACTGTATCACCAGGGAAGTCCACATCTTAACCATTTATAAGTGTACAGTTCGGTGATATTAAGTACTTCACTTTGTTCTACAACCATCACCCCCTCCATCTCCAGAACTCCTTTCATCTTGTAAAATTAAAACTCTATCCCCATTAAGCCCTAGCTCCCCACCTCCCCTCTCCAGCCCCTGGCAACCACCATTCTACCTTCTGCCTCTGTGAATTAGACCACTCCAGGGTCTGGAGGCCCATCAGATAACTGGAATCACATGGGATTGTCCTGCTGTGACCGGCTTACTTTTCCTAGCATGATGTCTTCGAGGTTCATTTGTGCCGTAGCCCAGGTCAGAATATCTTTCCTTTTAGGGCTGAATAACATTCCATTGTATGCATGGACCACATCTTGCTTATGCATTCATCCAGGGGTGGACACTTGGTCTCTGCTTTTTCATTGCTCTCCCTAAGACTTATAGGCTCCCAGGAAGGGGCCCTCATCGTGGGCCTTAGGGGTCCCTGTGGGAATGCCGAGGAGGGGGGCTCTGATGGTGGGCTTTGGGGCTCCTGCCCCTCCCCGATGTGACTGGCCCAGCCTCACAGCTTGCTGTGCCCTCCAGCTGGTCAGAGGTAGATGAGGCTGCTCCTGGGGTCATGCGGGGACCTGGGAGCCAGGGTCACAGCCAGTGGGGAGGGGCCCCAGGACTCAGGCTTCACTTGGCCGAGAGCTCCCAGACCTGCTTTTTGGGCGGGAGAAGCGGCCCCTCCAGCCCCATCCAGCCTCTCGTTCTCAGGGCAACACACACCTGGCTTCCACTCCCTCACTCCCCTGGCACTGGTAGGTCTTTCCAGCAGCTCCTGGAGGTCCCCATACTAACTGCCCAGGCTCTCCAGGACCTTCTAGTTCATGTCCACTCACCATCCTGCTGCTTTGGTGCTATGGCCCCCTCTCCGCCTAGAGAGCACTCTCCCCCACCCTCTTCCACCCGGACCACTGCTGCCGCCTCTTGGCCCTTTCTGCCTTATCTCCCCCACAGACCCCTCGCACCCCCACCCACACCCCCTCCTCACATCTCTCTTGGGCCACCCACCTCCTCATGCCAGCCCCCCTTCCCCCTCCTAGCTTCAGTCACCAGCATCTGAATCCTGCTGACTGCTCCCACCCCTTGGACTCTTGTCATAGGAACTGACCACCAAGTTTTCAATTCACAGATCAGCATCTCCCCCCACAGCTCCGTGGACCATCAGGGACTCCAAAACAAGCCTCTCATGTGTGCTGTTATTGACTCACTAGTGTTCATTCTTTCATCCAAATTTTTATTGAGCCCCTGCTCTGTGTGGTCAGTCTGCTGGGGCTGAAAATACAAAGGATGGAGTTGAGGGGGCTTCCTGGCTCTCCAGGTCCTGTCTGTCCAGTGGGAGATGCAGGCTTATCTCCCTGATGACCTTACCCCAGGGCATAGGGGGATACTGAGAGAGAGAAGGTCATCGGGAGGCAAGTTGGCCTTTCAGGTGGAAGGATGGCAGGTGTGGAAGGTGCGTGTGGGCCAGTGTGTGGCTGGAGTGGGGCTGAATGAGGGCAGAGAGGATGGAGAACACCAGGGGATGAGTTTGCGGGGAGAGGGGCAGGGATATTAGGGCACACTCCCACGGGGAGGGTGGGACACTGGGGGGGTGCTCCCATGGGGAGGGGATGACACTGGAGGGTGTTCCCATGGGGAGGGGGGACTTTGGGGGCTGCTCCCACGGGGAGGGCCGGAGCCCAGTGGATGCACTTGGAAGGTGTGCTTTTGTGTGGACTCTTCAAGGCAGTGACTGTTTCGGGGCAATGACTGGTTCTGTCGGCTGTCTCCACCTTCTTGGCCATGAGTCCCCACAGCAGGGTGGCTGAGTCCTGGGCCTCCATCGTGGTGGGGTACATGCTGCTTCCTACTCCAGTTTGCTCATTACGTCTTCACTAGGCAGCTTTGACTGTGGAGAGCCCTCTGGGCACTGCAGAACTGGTGTGTGAGGCAGGGGAGAACCCGTCTTCCTGGGTTATACCTCTTACCCTCCCGCCCAGATGCAGGAGGGAGTGTGGGGGATATGGTCATAGGTGGGCAGCCAGGTTGGGCTTGGGGGTGCTTGAATGCCAAGCTGGACAGTTTGGATGTGATGGAGTCACTATTGTAGGAAGAAGAACCACACATAGGAGATCAGGAGGAGAAGGGCAGCGTAAATGCAGGTACAGTGCTGGGCTCAGAGTGCAGTCATCCACAGCCACTTAATGGAGGTTGGCTTGTCCGGATGCCCTCCCAGGGGCTGTGTGTGGCCACACACACAGTGGCTCCGTCTTCACAATGTCAATGAGGCCTGTAGAATAAGTAGGTGCTGCCCCATTTTACAGGTGAGGAAACTGAGACCAGCTCAGGGCTGCTGGGAGTAGGAGCTGAACTGTGCAGCCTGGCCCCCGGGTCTACACACTTAACCACCACGCTCTGCCACAGAGAAGGGGAGCAGCAGAAACGAGTGAGCTGAGAGACAGGCTAGAGGGTCCCATGTCACCTGTGGCCTGGTATTGGCCGGTGGGGGCTGACAGGAATCAGAAGTGGCCCTAGGTTTGAGGAGAAATGATGCCCACCCCCCCCCCCCCACACACACATGCATGCACGCACACACACATGCATGCACGCACACACACATGAAAATGGGGTTGGTAGTTCTAACTCCAGGATGTCTCCATATGCTCTGTGATACTAGCCGATTATAGTTTTTTTTTTTTAATCGAGGTGAGGTCCATAAAACACAAAACTAGCCATTTAAAATTTTTTT